CTTTTTTTTCCAGCGAAATAGGAATTACATCATTTCTCTCTTACAAAAGCCCATCCTAAATCACTGTTCTCAATCCACGCAGATTCAAGGATTTGTATCTTCCTATGAGTAGAGCTGGGTTTCTAGAGCTGTCAGCTTTTCTTTATCAAAGCTCTGTATTTAAGGACCACACCAAATTAGCATTGTTTAATCGAAGCAGTATTTTTATTAGTTTTTAGTATCATGTTTAAATATATTCAAATGGATGAAAACATTTTGATATTAGATACTTTTCCAACCGTAGCTATCTTTGCTGTATCTGCACAAATAAACTTTGCAAAGCACTTATTTTAACACAATCCCAAATTTTTTTTACGCTTTCAGGTTATCTCTGTTTAATACAATTCAATTATATTCTAAACTAATAAAATAAATCATATGAAATATAAATGATACAAAACCTACATGTAAACTAATCTATAAAAATATCAAGTATTTATTGAAAACTTAAGAAGTGGTAGGCCTTGTGGAGAACACAAAGATGAACAAGACACAGTCCTCAGCCTTGATGAAGAGAATCCAATAGGGGAGTCAAGGCCAACACATAAAAAAGACAAGTAATATGAGGTTTAAATAAGATTTTAAGATCGTAATGAAAGACTTGTGACAGGATAGTAGATGACTATCAAAGTAATTATTTTCTTAAGAATACTGACTGGGCTTAGAGAAAGGGAAGGTTGGCCAGGCAGGGATCAAGGTCCCTGGCAAGTCAGCCCCCAAATATGGCCAGAACAGCAGAGTTCATTGCAGGATCAGGCCAGAAGTTTCAGGATCAGAAGGCTGGGAATCAGGTCTCACTGATCATTGGATGTCAAAGTAAAGAAAAAGAACTCTTTTCATTTGGTAGAAGCTGAAGTTTACTGGGCTAGCCCCATTCCAAAGCAGGACTGTTCCATATTAAAGAAGTACGTCCACAGCATTCTAATATGTTCTTGTTGTTAGGTGCTAGCGAGTTGGTTCCGACTCACAGCAACCCTACATACAACAGAATGAAACACTGCCCAGTCCTCACAATCGTTGCTATGTTTGAACCCACTGCTGCAGCCACTGTGTCGATCCATCTCATTGAGGGGTCTTCCTCTTTTTCGCTGACTCTCTACTTTACCAAGCATGATGTCCTTCTCCAGGGACTTCTCCCTCCTGATAACATGTCCAAAGTACATGAGATGAAGTCTGGCCATCCTCCCTTCTAAGGAGAATTCTGGCTGTACTTCTTCCAAGACAGATTTGTTTTTTCTTCCAGCAGTCCACGTATACTCAATAGCCTTCACCAACACCATAATTCAATGGCATCAATTCTTCTTCACTCTTCTTTATTCATAGTCCAGCTTTTGCATACATATGAGGTGAATGAAAACACCATGGCTTGGGTCAGGCAAACCTTAGTCCTCAAAGTGACACCTATGCTTTTTAACACTTTAAAGAGATCTTTTGCAGCAGATTTGTACAATGTAATAAGTCAGTTGATTTCTTGACTGTTGCTTCCATGGGCATTGATTGCAGATCCAAGTAAAATGAAATCCTTGACAACTTCAATCTTTTCTCCATTTATCATGATGTTACTTATTGGTCCAGTTATGAGGATTTTTATTTTCTTTATGTTGAGATGTAATCCGTACTGATGGTGTAGTCTTTGATCTTCATCAGTAAGTGCTTCAAGTTCTCTTTGCTTTCAGCAAGCAAGGTGTGTCATCTGCATATCGAAGATTGTTAATGAGTCTTCCTCCAATTCTGATGCGGTGTTCTTCTTCATACAGTCCAGCTTCTTGGGTAATTTGCTCATCACACAGATAGAATATGTATGGTGAAAGGATACAACCCTGATGCACACCTTTCCCGTTTTTAAACCGTGCAGTATCCCCTTGTTCTGTTTGAACAACTGCCTCTTGATCTATGTACAAGTTCCTCATGAGCACAATTAAGTGTTCTGGAATTCTCATTCTTCGCAGTGTTATCCATAATTTGTTATGATCCACAAAGTCAAATGCCTTTGCATTCCAGTATAGCTTCCTCCAAATCCTATCCTCTTCCTTGAGTAATCCTTCTTTTTTATGGCCTTGTAACTAGGTTCTCCACATAAGTCTGGGTCTCTCTTGCGAGAAGAAAATACTTATTAGGAAGCAGCTATTGGCTTCTGGGGAGGGGTCCTCTTGTTTCCCTTCTTCAACATTATTCTCCTCAGGGAGAATGTGAGTGGAATCTGGGCCACAGTTCTTCATTTCCATATCTAATGACCCTAAAACTATCTCACATATCTGATGCTTTCTCCCTGAATAAATGTCAGGGTAGCTGAAAGAACTAGAATGAAGGAGAAATTACTCCAAGAAACCACATTATTGTCTTTCTAGTACCATATCTGCACATCGCAACATCCCAATGAGGCTGACAAACATCTCTAACTGCTGAAAGCAACAGGGGCAGTCTGTACTGGAAATAGTCTCCAACGACCTTGTAATTTTCTGTAGCACCTGTGAGAAGCTACTGTGCTTTTCCACGGTCAGTTATTTCCCTGCAAGCAATATATTCAAGAAACATTTGTCAAAATATCCTTCTATCCCACATCCTGGCACGTCCTCTGAGCAGCTGGACCTTGGCAAAGAAGCAGACTACCAACAACTTACCTTCCCCAGCACTTACCCCAACTTTCTGCCTTCTCTGAGGAACAGACTCACTGACCAACAGAAGTTCCAACTGGTCAGAGGCTTACAGATGGTGGAGGAGGTTTTCAGCCAGGCAGAACTCTCTTAGATCTCAGAAAGAGCTCTGGCTGCTCAGAAACTCCCAAACAAGTCAATCTAGACCCCAAAGCCAGTGCCTAAGCTAAAAAAAATACAGGATTCTGATGATGTGGATGGGGATATGGTGCCATCCATACATTTAACGAGGCTCATGGTGCTGCCCCAGTGGACTTTCATTTACGCCCCGGAAACATTTCCTCTGAAGTGTGGATGTTAGGGTATTCTGGTTTGGTGCATCATACCACATATCCCTAGGGGTTGATCCAGCTGATCAGACTAAGTTTGAGTCCTTTTTGTCCTTACTGCCCAATGATTACCCCCCTCCCAAAGCTACACGTGATTGATACAAACTTTCCCATGGAGCAAAACAGTGCTCTCTTGTGAAGGACATGTGTTATTGTTGTTGCTGTTTGCTGTTGAGTTGATTCCCACTCATGGTGACCCTATAAGACACAGGAGAACTGCCCCGTAGGGTTTCCTAGGCTATAATCTCTATGGAAGCAGACTGCCAGGTTTTTTCTCCTGTGGAGTCGTTGGTGGGTTCAAACCGTTGACCTTTCGGTTAGCAGCTGCGTGCTTAACTATTGCACCACCAGTAGTTAACACATCTCTGCCAGAAACTCGAAATGAATTCATTCCTCCAAGAGGATTCCTGCTTCCCTAAGCTGCCAAGTCAGAGCCCCTACTGGGAAAAAATGTCTCAGGTAAGAGCGGGGTAGATAATCACTTTGTTAGGAAGCACATTTTGGTGTACTTTTTTCAGGAGAACACTGATCTCATTAATCGGATTCCAAGGTAAACTCCCTCACAGTGGTTACAATAAGCATGAAGTGAGCTCCTAAACTTCGCCACTTGGGTTAGCGGAGCTCTAACAACAACGGGTGTTATATTTAGGGCGTTTACACTCTCAGTAAAAGAATGTGCCTTCATAATTCAGTATCAGAGAGACAGAACCTGTTGCTATAATTCTCAGTTATGGAACTCTAAAAACTACATTCCACGATGAGCAGTCTTCTCTTAAGGACACTGATGGAGAGATCACACAGAAACAGAGCTGTGGCTACAGATGACGTCAAAGAGGCTAGAGACTATTGTCGTTCTTAGAGAACGGAAATGAAAGCTGATGAGACAACAGGAGATGTGCAGATCTTATCTAAGCTTGCAGTTTACGGTGTTAACATACCAACGTAGGACTAATTCTAGTCTCTTACACATGAAACGCTCCCACTTCTCACAATCAACTGCCAAAAACATCTTGTCCACTGCACCATCCTTGAAACAAATTACTGAAGGTGTGAAAATGACAATCCCCATAAATGGTTTGTTTTTCTTAGGATTGCATTTTGAAAAGCACTCTTGTCCATCACTCAGCAGAAGCTGCCTCACACAGCAGCTTTGTGTTAAAGGTTACTCTGCATTGTCAAACTGTATTCCCTGCTCTGTGAGCCAGTGTGAGTAAAACAGCTTTAATAACACCTGCAAACCAGGGAGCAGCAAAGGACAAAAACTCTGCTCTGGAATTCCATGAGATGGAACTCCCACAACGCCACCCCCAAGAGTAAATATAAAATATTTAGTCCTTCCCATGGACTTTATAAAATAATTTAGTTGCTTAACATCTGCAAGTTGAGAAGTTAATTTTTTTATTGTAAAAATAAAAATACTCAAGTGTGTAAGTTTTTAAATAGTCCCCCTAATTATTTAGGAGAAATATATTCTACATATTCTCTGTCTTTATCGTTCATAATGTCCTAGAATGGTGACCTATCTCTGGAGTCCACTTTAATGATAAATGTTTAATAAGAGTTTTGACACTGGTCTGGTTCTTGCTACAGAGAGTGGCAATCGACAGCAGGAGCTGAAACGTAGGTCATTTATTAGTGTCCTTGGATCAGAGGTGAATGGCAAAGACCCAGACAGAAGCAGATGGCCTTGAGCTATCTATATGGGGACTGTGGTACCTCTAGCTAATAAATACGGTAACTAAGTGAACAGACATTTGACCTAAGTCAAAAATATACTGAAGAATGTGGGAGAATGACAGTATTCAAGTTAAATAGAACAGTTATGTCAATCAAAAACGACAGAACAAATCATTTTACACAATAAACACAGATTAGTGATGATCTATTATACTCAGAGTTCATTGTGAAGTACTCCTTACTCATACATCATACAGCTCAGTGAGATTCCGAGTCCTTTGAATTCTACCACAAACCTTACCTGCAAGCAGGTGAACAGAGTTGAAGCTCTTCTCCAGTTTACCCAGAAGTACAGAGAGAAAACAATCTGAAGATAGAGAGGCAACATCTTGGGAGCTTTGATCGTAAACTACAACTTTCTGGCTGCAATCGAGGTCGACCTGAAATGCAAACGTGAGGCTGTTAGGAAGAAAAGCAGTGAGAAGAATAATCCCATAAACTACTAGTTGAGTCGGATTACTCATTCACTGATGTTGAAGCAAATAACTGTTTCTTGTTGTCAGTTAAAAATTTGGGTAAGAATGAGATGAGGTCAACTTATTAAATAAACCTAGTACACAAATATTTAGATACTTGTAAAAATCAACTTTTAGGAAAGAAAATAATCACATGATCATCTCATTTGACGCAGAAAAGGCATTCGACAAGGTCCAACACTCATTCCTGATAAAAGCTCTCAGTAAATTAGGTACAGGAGGGAAATCGCTCAACATAATAAAGGGCACTATGCAAAACCAACGGCCAACATCATTCTTAATGGAGAGAGGCTGAAAACATTCACCCTGAGAACAGGAACAAGACAAGCATGCCTTTTATCACCACTCGTAGCTAGACCAATAAGGCAAGAAAAAGAAATAAAGGGCATCCAAATTGGTAATAAAGAAGTTAAACTGTCCCTATTTGTGAATGATATGATACTATACAGAGGAAACGCAAAAGACTCCATAAGAAAACTACTGGAACTAATAGAAAGATTCAGCAGAGTAGCAGGATACAAGATAAACATACAAAAATCAGTCGGATTCATATACACCAATAAAGAGCATGATGAAAAGGAAATCAGGAAAACAATACCATTTATAATAGCCCCTAAAAAAATAAAAAACTTAGGAGTAAATCTAACCAGGGATGTAAAAGACCTATACAAAGAAAACTGCAAAACACTACTGCAAGAAACCAAAAGAGATCAACATAAATGGAAAAGCATACGATGCTCATGGATAGGTAGACTCAACATTGTGAAAATGACAATTCTATCCAAAGCAATCTACAAATACAATGCAATCTCGATCTAAATACCAACAACATTCTTTAAAGGGATGGAAACACTAATCATTAACTTTATATGGAAAGGGAAGTAGTGCCGGATAAGTAAAGCACTTTGAAGAAGAAGAATAAAGTAGGAGGACTTGCACTACCTGACCTCAAAACCTACTACATGGCTACGGTAGTCAAAACAGCCTGGTACTGGTACAACGACAGATACATTGACCAATGGAACAGAATTGAGAACCCAGATGTAAATCCATCCACCTACGGTCACCTGATCTTCAACAAGGACCCGAAGTCCATCAAATGGGGAACAGACAGTCTTTTCAACAAATGGTGCTGGCAAAATTGGATAACCATCTGCAAAAAAATGAAACAAGACCCATACCTCACACCATATACAAAAACTAATTCAAAATGGATCAAAGACCTAAATATAAAGACAAAAACTATAAAGTTCACAGAAGAAAAAATAGGATCAATGCTAGAGGCCCTAATACACGGCATTAACAGGATACAAACCATAACCAACAACACACAAACTCCAGAAGATAAGCTTGATAACTGGGATCTTCTAAAAATTAAACACTTATGCTCATCAAAAGACTTCACCAAAAGAGTAAAAAGAGAACCTACAGACTGGGCAAAAATTGTGGCCATTACAAATCAGACAAAGGTCTAATCTCTAAAATCTACAAGAAAATCCAACACCTCTGCAACAAAAAGACAAATAATCCAATTAAAAAACGGGCAAAGGAATTGAACAGACACTTCACCAAAGAAGACATTCGAGTGGCCAACAGACACAAAAGGAAATGCTTGCGATCACTGGCCATTAGAGAAATGCAAATCAAAACCACAATGAGATACCATCTCACCCTGGCATTTCTGGCACGAATCAAAAAAAAAACTGGAAATAACCAATGTTGGAGAGGCTGTGGGGACATTGGAACTCTTATACACTGCTGGTGGGCATGCAAAATGATACAACTGTTTTTGGAAAATGATATGGCACTTCCTTAGAAAGCTAGACATAGAAATACCATATGATCCAGCAATCCCACTCCTAGGAATGTATCCTAGAGAACTAAGAGCCATCACACGAATAGACATATGCACACCCATGTTCACTGCAGCATTGTTCACAATAGCAAAAAGATGGAAACAACCTAGATATCCATCAACAGATGAATGGATAAACAAACTCTGGTACATATACACAATGGAGTATTATGCAACGATAAAGAACAATGATGAATCTGTGAAACATCTCAGAACATGGATGAATCTGGAAGGCATTATGCTGAGTGAAATAAGTCAATCACAAAAGGATAAATACTGCATGAGACAACAACTGTAAAAACTGATGAAAAGGTTTACACACACAAAAAAACAATCTTTGATGGTTATGAGGGATGAGAGGGGTAGGGGTGGGGGACACTAAATAGACAATAGATAAGTGGTACCTTTGGTGAAGGGTAAGACAGTACACAATACTAGGGAAGCCAGCA